CCTACACCGTCCCCTCTGACTGCACGTCCCCACTTCCCGCGTCTCAGCCGGCCTTTCTTACAGAGCTTTGGACTCGATGCCGGAGTGGGGAGAGGGGGCCAGGAAGGCCAGTGAAGGCCAGTGCTGAGACAACGAGGGAAATTCAGCTTAGCGGGCAGCACTCCCGTCAGGAACGAACGCTGTCCCTGCACGGCCTGGCCCCTCGTCAGAGCAGCGGCCACGCTGCCGGTGTCTTTCGGCCCTCCCTGTTCCTGTGACCACAAGGACCTGCTGACAAGAGCTGGTATGAGCAGGCGGATTCCTGGAGGTGAATACTTTGCCACTTTCTCATCTGGTCTCCTTTGATAACAGTGAGCCCTCGTCTGACTGTCATGCCTGAGTGTAGTATTAGGTCCTTACTTTATAGGCAAGGAACCTGGGGTCCTTGGGTCACCCACATTCCCAGGGTCACATGGGGAGTAGGGACCAGTGCCGGGGTTCAACACCAGTCTGATTTTCAAAAATGCCTTTTCTATTTCAGAGCTGGAGTGGCAAGTCTGTGGTGTCCCCCAGGGCTGGGGGCTCGGGTTGGAGGCAGGAGGAGGCTTTGAGGTCTGCGCTTCCACTTGGCCGTCCTCAGGAAAGCCAGTGGCCGCCCGGACAAGCGCTTAGTGGGGAATATTGAGGAAGCAGGAGAGGAGGGGGAAGGAGGGAGGGAAGGGAGCGAAGCTCTGATACCCCACCTGGAAGTGGGCGTTGTTGAAGGTTGGTATGCAGGGTGCTTCAGAACGTGTGGAAATGGAATTAAAGTATTAAGATCTGACATCCATGCACAGTGTTTTCAGAACATGCGCTCTCCACGCGTTCCGAGGCCCGCACATACACGCCCTAGGACTCTCACTCCCACGCCGTCCACGCTGCCTGCAGGCTCCAGATTAGCCTGACGCGGCGCCCGCATCTCCCTGGGTGGCTGCGTGTCCCACTGAACGATGCCCACAAACAGAATGGTTTCTCTGGACTTGGACGGCCTCTGTAGGCAGGTGCTGCAGGGATTCCAGAAGCCTAATTATGCTCAGGAAATGATTCACGACCCGTTTGTAATTGCTGGCCTCCTCCTCCCGCTCGCTTGCGCT